AGGTGGCCATTCTGGTAATGGTATAGGTCCGAATAAAGTGCTGTTATTTTGGCAGGAGGTGGCCATTCTGGTAATGGTATAGGTCCGAATAAAGTGCTGTTATTTTGGCAGGAGGTGGCCATTCTGGTAATGGTATAGGTCCGAATAAAGTGTATAGATAATATACATGGGTCATTGTAAGGGAAAACTTTCAATTTAAACATTACTTTTAAGGATGTTCTGGATTTGTATGTTAAGAAACCTTTGTATGCGGAAAATATTTAACTTATTTGTGAAGTTAAAGCAATACTTCTTGCTTTACGAGTTTACATGCTTTATTTCTGATTACTTTGGTTGGCATCCGTTGAAAATTTGTTTGTTTGTTAGTTTATTTGCTATGGATTTCGCGCAAAGCCACACGAGGGATATCTGCACTAGCCGTCCCTAATTTAGCAGTGTAAGACTAGAGGGAAGGCAACTAGTCATCATCACCCACCGCCAACTCTTGGGCTACTCTTTTACCAACGAATAGTACGATTGACCGTCACATTATAACGCCCACACGGCTGATAGGGCGAACATGTTTGGTGTGACGGGTATTCGAACCCGCAGATTGCTAGTCGAGCACCCTAACCACCTGGCCATGCCGGGCCTTGAAAATCTGAATTAAACAAAAATAAGTAAGATACACGTATTCGTTTCACAGAAATTGGTGTAAAGCGTGGCTATAGTGGTACTACATCTAAACCAAAACTTTATATAATGCTTTTTCTTGGGATATTACTTTCAAACTACCGCTATCTTCTTGTTGAAACTCGCCAGGTTTTAGAGCAAGAAATGAAAAATGAATGTGAATATACCACAAGTTTGTATTCAGAAAATAACCGAGAGTGAATTTCAAGAGCAATAGTAAGAAGAAAGGAAGTAAAGGATAGAAACCTATAAAAGTTGATGTCATCGTTACCTTAGCAGTATTTTTATTGTTTGGTTCTGCTTGGTCTGTTCATGCACTGGTCTTATCCGGGATTAGTCTCTGCAAGTCATCTTCATAACAAGTTTGTTTTGTAACCGGCATGTTCAGCATATGTAACTATCCGAGATTACGTGCAATGGTTGCATGTATTTCTGTGCACAATTTTTGAGTACAGTTAAGTGTTCAAGAGACATCCCGTAGCTGTTGCGATAGGCTGTAAATATGTTTTAGTTCAGTAGGCTAGTCACCGTATCTGTGACAAGTATTGTTAATTAACAGTGTCTTCAAATTCAGTGTAGCGGTTGTATGTTATACTGAAACATACGTTTCTGTAAAACTGCCGTAAGTTCTTACTTTTCTTTAGTTTGTTTTGTGTCTGTGAATTCAGTTATATTATATTTCGAGCTTTAGATAATGTTTTTAATTGTGTCTAATCCAGACAGGTCAGGATAATGTTGTCCGTCTAAGTTCATTATTAATGAAAAGTTTCTTTCCATGACATTTAGTTATTTAAAACTGCTTGAACGGTAGGTTGGTTGGGTAATTTCCCGGTTAGAGCTCGCCGTTCACATCCCCATCTATATTATAGTTAAAACATATTGAACAAAACATAGCATAAGCACATTGATGCTAAAAATTGTTATCAGCCATGGACAACACATCCAAAGTGAGTAAATACGAGCTGAGAACAAGAAGCAGGCGATTAATTCTTAACGGTTTTGTGCGATTAACCGTCAACTGTATTTTATATGCTTTTTGATACTAGAAATCACGACTCGCTTTTAATGAAATTCGACACAACTCATTGATACGAGTCATTCTAAAACTAATTTTTATATTACTGATTTGATAACAAACGATAAAATTCTATAAAAACGATATCAATTGAATAAACTAAAAAACGTGATAAAAATCCCTTCATGAAAATTGTTAACTATTATATAAGCCACGCTTCTTACAGCTCCATATCTCTTCATAGTATTGAAATTCTTTCCTAGTCTTTTATAATAACACTTCAGTTTCATATTATATAAAAATTGCTTGAAACTTAAATGCTTAATTTTCGTCTTACATTTTAAAGAATTGACTACAAGTTATCAAATGTAATTAATATCAACTTACGATCAAATCAAGCTCCCTACTTAGATCAAGACTAGCCGGTAATGAGTATAAATAATTAAATATATTGCTCTTATGTTCGTGCTTGTAAACATTAGAATGCATTGTAACATTAGTTGGCTACCCTTGCTGTGAGTAATATTGTTGACCGTAAACCTAATAATATCCCACAAGGTTCGACCAGTTCAGAAGATTTAGGTTAGTATAAGCTAACATACGTTAAGCTGAAAATGCAAAGCAGCCTCCACAGTAAAAAATGAAAATAGATATACCATATATTTTAACCAATGATCTTAATGAAAGTAGCATCAAAGAAATATTTGTTTTCGGATATTGGTGCAAAGCTTATCAAAGGCTATCTGCTTAGCCGTACGTAATTTTGGATTGATAGATTAGTGAGAAATCAACTAATTGGCAGCACTCGCGGTCAAATCTTGTTTAACCAAATAGTTGGATTCGACTGTCACCCTGATAACGCACCCACGGTGAAAAATGGACTCGCACATTCACAATCCATGACGATAACCAGTGTGATACATTCGACCATAGTTGGGTAACAGAACAGAAAGTATAGCAGAAAACTAATGTTTTTTTTAAGTTAAATGCAATAAAACGAAAATAATATACTAAACATACTATAAGTTGTGTCTAACACAAATTATTCGACATTAACTAACCTCTGTTACTTAACAAAACACGTGAAGCGGGCAATAGAAAAAAAATAAATATAGTTAAATCTTTAGTTAGCCGAAAAGTATATGTGATAAGATTCGAGAAGGTTCACTAATAATAATACCTTAAAAATGAAGTAACAGCAGTGGTAAATATGACAATGAAAGTAATTAGCAAAAATTAATGAACTTAAGTGATGACGTAACGCAATACTATATTGGGAAATAATGCGACTGATGTATTATGTATAAAAATTGAAGTTCGAATAAATGTAAATCAACAACTTGTAGTTGAAGTTATGTCCTAGTACTTGATGGGAGATACGTTGTTTTTTAAAAAGAAATACATAGCCTGCGAAAATTCGTTTAATGTGAAACAATGATACGTTTTTGAGTAACACTGTCAGGGAAACATCTGTGTTTACTAACGCAAAGCATTCATTTACCAGAATTACTAAAAGACATTGAAATTGTTAATGAAAAACTGTTTTTAATTTATTCCAATACAAAGACTAATCTAAGGATAACTAAAATCAAAATTTTCTATCGTTTTAGCTTCAAAGCCTTTGATTTTATCTTTACATTGGTGAAATTGCAGGTGATCATGAATGAATTTCTACCGGTTTTCTCTTTGATGGTGTTACGGATTTGTTTGAACTAGCATAAAATATCTGTAGTCCGGATTCATAAAGTCCCCAATGTACCGATCAAGCTTGTCTACTATATCCAATTATTCATTAGATATCCCCATGTAGGGCTAAGAGCCAGGTGAAAAAAAAAAAACATTAGAAAACCTACCTGCAGTGCCTTATCACGTGTGCCAAGTCTGGTTCTATAACTTCTGACTGGGATTAGTAGCACAGTTTCAAACATGGCGCTTCCGGGTCTTAAGGGGAGGGAGGGGTCAAGAACACAAAATGTGTAATGCCAGATTCGGGCCAACTGTAAAAACCTACTTTTAAACCTTCATCGTCGGGGGGAGGGGCATTAGCCTTTTTGGTATGGTGGGCTAAACCTTACAGGTAAGGTTACTCCAAGTCCGCTTGCCATGTTTAGTTCTGCTAGCTCCAAAACTGTGCAGAGAGTAGCTGGAAAAAAGATGCACTGATATATTTACAAAACTGATCATGGTGCTCCCAGGACCCAGAAAGAGGTCAGGAACACAAAATTTGATGCCATATTCGGGTTTTTAGTGATACTAAAAATCTACTCTTAGACCCCTATCAAGTCGAGGCGACCTTCTGGGGCATTTTAATCTTCCTTGGTACACTAAAGATAGATACATCCACCAGACTACCTCAAGTCCACCAGCCAAATTTGGTCTTGCAAACTCCACCGGACTGCTCCAAGTTCACCAGCCAAATTTGATCTTGCTAGCTCCACCGGACTACCCCAAGTCCACCAGCCAAGTTTGGTCTTGCTCGCTCCATCGGACTATCCCAAGTCTGCCTGCCAAGTTTGGTCCTGCCACATCCACTGGACTACCCCAAGTCTGCCTGCTAAGTTTGGTCCTGCTAGCTACAGAACTGTGGGAGGAGTTAGTTGATCATATACACAAAGCTACAAGCTGAATTAATAGAGGATGCTCTTTAAGTATTAGGTAGCGAAGAAATTAATGTCGCGTTTTGGAACACTTTCATTAACCACCCCTCAAAAAGAAAAAAAAACAAAAAAACGTACATCACATATAATAGTTAAACGAACCGCCTAAACGTTTCGTTAGTGTATCCTATATAATGTGTAAATTTTAGTATACTCTAATTCTTTATAGTGATGGCACACAACGAGACACACATTCGGCATGTAATGCTGTTTGAATTGAAAAAGGGAAACAACGCCTCTGTAGCCACAAAGAATATCAAATAACTTTATGGAAATGTTTTGAACGCTTGTAAGTGTGAACAACGGTTCAGCAAATTTCGTTCAGGTGACTTTAGCCTTAAAAATTGTGATGGCAGGGGCTGACATGTTGGAATTGATATTGATACTCTGAAGACGGCTGTTGAATCTAACCCAAGGCAACACATAGATTCAATAAATCGAACAAGTATATTTTAAGATAAGCTGGGAGAATATTTCATATTACGAAACTATAGATTTTGGAATGACAAGTAGAATTATTGCACTTGGTAATTTACATGTTGTCAGTGACACCTTTACTTTGAAATTACTAAACAGAAAATTTCCACCTTTATATAGTGAATAACGAAGTTGGGTATGATTTTAAGATTTTCAAGTGACCTCTCTTTTTATATATCATGATCTAATAAGGATGTTACAGTGCAAAATTTGCACTAGAATCATCTCGGTGTTAAACTTAATTGTTCTAATGCGGTTACGAAGGAGAATGGAAAATTCCTTGTAACTCTTTTTGGGTAAAGATATTTAAACTTGCAGATTTACTAATGTTCGTAAATTAGTTTTATTAAAGAAATGCATTTGTAGTTAGTTGCTCCAAACAGCATTTAATGCGTAGATAAATAAAACTAGGTTATTTTATACATAGAATTAAAATGAAAAGTTTTATGTTGAGGAGTTACGGTAAGTAAAACTAACTTAATATTTTTAGGTTATAAAACCATTTATATCTTCTTTCGAGTTTCACGCATTCATGCTGACTCTTTGAAGTCGTATCTGCAAGAACCTGGTTGTGCAGAAATACATAATACATATTTAAAATTAAACCAAAGTTGAAAATAGTGCAGAGAATCATATTTCGGCAGGTCTTTTAATTTACGTCTACTTAACTCCGTACTTTTGATCAAACACAATGCCACTTTGTAATGTAGTGTTTTTGTTTTAGAATTTCTATCATTTTGTTTAATTGACTTGGAATGAAAGTTCACTGGTTATATATATTATTTTATTGCCTTGGATCTACTTTATTTAAATTCCTTTCCTTTATTCTCTTTATAGTTTGAACGTTACTTTTAATTACACTAAGGAAATAGTTCCCAACAAGAACTTAAATCACTTGAAGATGAGATGGGACGTTATTAGAGAGGCTCTGCAAAATATACATAGATCATTCTTCATCTATGATGACCCTTCAACTGCCCCGAACACATCAACCATGGTTAACCCTCGAGTGAATGGAGAAATCCTTTCGTCCCAAGAACCAATAGATCCTGCGACATCAACCACTCAGGACACAACACAGCCTGATGAGAGAACCGAAGTATTATCGTCTCCTTGTCACACAGGAGCACAGAGTGCTTCTTCCGTTAGCGCAACCTCTCAACAGACCTCAGCTTTGACTATTAATATTGATCACGGAACTCAGAATACATCCACAACTAGCGAACCAAATGACAACGACCAGCAACAAGATAGAAGTTTGGCGATCGCAATTCCAATAGCATTGGAGCCAAATAACACATTAAGTCAAAATGAACTTTTGAGGTCTTCACGTGGAACATGGGCTGCTGATAGGTCTGCGATTTTCGCTTGTTTCAGCTGTGTTATAGGAATATACAATATCAGTAGATTTTCACTGCTGGTTTATGTGTATAAAGGTCTGTATCGAATTTCGACTTTTAGATAGTCTTTAAACTTAGTTATAATCCTGCCATGCTTCAAATGTTTAAATAATTAAACTAAACAGAAACAAATTTTTGAAGATCATGTTACATAACATAACATAACATAATGTTTTGGGACAACATGGGACCTATTGGTCCAAAATACATAAAACAATATCTTAAATCCAGCACTTATCATTCATATACTTATCAAGCTTTTTCTTAAATGTACTGTCTCTAAAACATCTGAAGGCAACTCATTCTAAAGGCCAACAACTCTGTCAGAAAAATGAAACTGTCTTAGCTGAAGACGACTCCTACTTTGCTTAGTCCCGATACAGGGGCCGAAGATAAGATAGTTAAACGTGATACTATGTCTTTGGAACGAAAGAAACTGAAAAGAAGTGAATTTGTAGAAAACCAGATTTAAATAAAACCTGGAACAATTTATTCACTTCAGGAAAAAATTACAAGTACGGAAACATCAATGTAGTCCAAAAAAGTGACAACCATCAAACATTGACACAGATAAATTTAAAATACAGGGAAATCATTTTTCAATGTAAACAAAAGCGTCGCAGGACTATACATTGTACTCAAAAGAAAGAATATTTGGGGAAAACCCAAAACCAGAACAACAAAAGCAACAACAACAACAACAGCTGCACAAATTTTAATTTTACCAAGATTTAACCTGAGAGTTTATACTTCATTTCCCCCCTCTCATTTTTTCGTTGTATTTTTCCTATTGGTTAAGGGTTTAGCACATATAACATTATAGGAGTCAATCCAAAGGTTCAACGTGTGCTCAGAAAATATACTCTAGGGTGGACATAGGGAGTGATAATATTGCAACCAAAATAAGTAAACTGTTACGTATTATAATTTATCCCGGACGAGCCTCCAATTTATTACGTAACGTATTATAATTTTGAATAGTCTGAAATTGAGTTAAATGATAATTTAGATTTAGAAATTAAATAAATGTCGATGTGTATCCAATTTATGATACTTGCTAACAAGATTGATATACACAGTTTTTTAATACAAATATCTTTCAATATATAAGCAATAACACAATTTATAATAACGGTTACTACAAATAATGATCTATGTACAAAAGATTTACAAACAATATTTAGTCCTCTATTTGTTCTGGAACTTCCTTGATATCTCATCGAAGGTTCACGATGAGCGAATTAATTTTGAGTAGATATAGATACAATTCACTTAACGGGAAGCTGCTAGCTAGCTCCGTGTTCTTCTGTCTTCACCAGCCACACGCCGATTTATCCACTGCTGCAGTTATATAATGTTTTCGTAAAAATATTAATGTCCAATGTGAATCCGCTGAAGTTAAATGGTTTGTAATATTCGAACTCTATAAACGTTCCTGGTAAAAAACTTGAAGATCCTGATTGTTATAACACTTAACAGTTATAGATTCCGAATTAGTTACAGTTATAGAATTATTAAGTGTTATAACAATCACAGTTATAGATTCCGATGTTTATAGCACACCAACTATAGCAAACCAATAATATATACTGTTTTTATCGCACATCACGTTGGTTATATATTTTTATTTTTTTTTGCAGACAGACTAGCATACAAAGTCAATTGATTAAAACGCATCTACTAACATATTTATAACAAACATGTTATTATTAGCATATAAAGTTATATGATATGTGCGAGTATCTTGGTTCAAGTAACGAACAACCACATCAAACTAGATGGAGTCAATGGTGGATCTGAGGTTTTTATGAACGGTATATTCTTGGAGTGGAAGAATGGGTAACGATTTGGTTCCTCAAAAAAAAGAAACCCAAAAGTCGGTCACTTCAAGCAGAGACACTCTATAAAAAGTTAACATGTATTACAGTCTGTATGCTATAACTCGTATGTGAAATTATTGCTGTCAGTTATCATCACCTTGATAAATTTGTGTGTGTTGTTTAATTTTGCCGAAGAGCTTGTACATGGAAATGTAAAGAGTAAAAAATAATGATTAATAAAGAAAGTAATGGAATTTATGGAACTTAGAAATTCAGTTTACGCTGCTCTTACATACACACCCTTAAAGAGGTTAAACTGGGGCGAAACGGACCAAAATAAAGTTATGCCTCTTGAGGATTCAAATCATTAAAGTATTAGGTCTGCTGATTGAAATATCAAAATTGATAAAAAAATGGTGTTTTATGATTTTCAAAATCGTAATTTAACTACTGCGACTATACTGATTATTCGTGTATTTTGTACGGCATTCCACGCCATATTATATCGTAATTATTATTTAACAATATGTTTTCCAACGAACTATAATTGGTAATATGTGTTATTTTGTTTCCTTTGTTCTTCTAGCATGTTTTATTGTCGAGTTCCTCATCTTAACATGTGTGTTTGGTCTTCCCTTCATATACTTCCAGTCAGCAATAGGGCAATACTTAGGATCTGGAATACTAGACATGTGGTATATATCCCCAGCCTTCAAAGGTATCTATCTGAATTATCACAGTCTTTATGTGTATATTTTAAGAGTGCGCATCAACTATCACGCTGAAATCTACTGTTCTCAAAAGCCAAGAATTAAGGTACCTTGTAAAGTATATACATTTATTCAACAGCAACAGATAGTAAATGTTTTAAAAACGTTCTAGTATTTCATTCAGTTAAATGGTTTTGTATTCGTAATTATATTTATTTTAGTAAATAGTTATGTAATTTTGATTAGTAGTTAGTGTATGCTAACAGTGGGTAATTAAGTACTATGTCTTAACGAATATACTTCAGGTGATAAAGCGATATGTTGATGGTTAGACATTTAAGAGGTTGAATGACAAACATTTTATTCATGTCTCAGGTTTGACCTTTTTCATATTCCAGTATTTAATGTGCACTGATCATTTAAACTAGCAATAACGATATTTTTAGGTACAGAAAAATCGGTGTAATGTCATAGTAAAGTTAAGATCTTAGCCTTGAAATTAATTACACTTTCTGAATCAGTTTACTGTAAAATAATTTGTTCTGGGACTTCGTTAAGTTTTAACAAAATTACAAAATTTAATGTTATTCATATTATAGATTTAGTAAAATAATACTGATCAAATCCTCTTAGTTAATAACTTTTTATTTGTTTCATCTTTCAGGAGTAGGGCTAGCCTTGCTGTACATGTACGTCGTATTAGGTGTTTATACTTCTGTACCAATCAGTTGGCTGTTCCTGTTCTTTAAGGATTCCTTCGTCACAACTCGAGAAACGTATAGATGGGGACAGTGTAACCCGAAATTTGGTGCTCAGTGTAAGAACTTTGAAACAACATATTTTAATGGTTGTATTTAATATATACCTCTTTTACTTAACACATAATGGCGCAACGTTAGAGTATTTACTTAAAGAAGTGTTAGGATACAAAATCAAAACATTTAATGAGAACGTTAACGTAAATTATTCAGTGATAGATACTAGTAAGGAAAGTACTTTCTTAATTAGAACACATTTTATCTTATCGAGTTGCATCAGTATGTACGATAGGAAACCTCAAGTAACTGCTAACGAATTTTTGGTCGTCTTTTGTTTATTTCAGATTGTTTGGAGAGTCGTAATAAATCATCATCTGGCTATTTCGGATGGTCGGTGCCAAATTATTTCCAGTAAGGAGTATCTTGTTTTATGTCTAAGTAACGTGTTAAAAAGAGGTAATACTGTTCTAAAGCTGGTGAGATAAGGCTATGAACCAATATCGCCCTCGATCACACTGTTTTAAAGTCCTTTAATAAATTAATATATTATTTTCAGTTAGTTACTTCAAGAATAAAATGTACACATCTACAGCGTCATTCAAGCGTTACAAGATCTATTTCATCTAACATACTTGTAATTCGAGCATCACAGGATTTTTGTCATCTAATATACAGTGCAATTTGAACGTTACAAGATCTATTTTATCTGATCTTTGCTATAATCATTCACCCATAGAGAGACATTTTATGATCTCTGATCACCAATGTAGGTTATGTTACTCTTCTTTAACATGGAAGAAGACTTTATACATCAGCCATCTTATTATAACTAATTAAAAACTGCTTAAGTTTCATAGAAAGAGACTTCTTTTTCACCACTCATCATAGGTGTAATTTGTCTGTACCGTTTCACGTCTATAAAAATACGTCTTAATAAGCTGAGTTAAAGTGATAATTACATAAGGTATTGTTTTCTAGCATTTTATGTTAAATACTCAACAAGTTCTAAAACCTGTTATGCTGTCTTACATCTATATAAACCATTATTTTTGTAATTAATTTTAGATCACCAAAAAAAAAAATTAATATCTTACATTAAGGTATTTAAAGAGTCTTAAGGCTTACTTTGATATTTCCTGCCTATAAGCACCGAACAAGGATCACATATTTCAAAGTGTTTCTTTGCTAGACTTTGTAGATCTGAAGCTTTTCTTGTAGGAGTGTATGCCTCCTAATATTATCTAATTAAACTGCAGGCCCCTTCTGTGTGCCTTTACAGAGTTAACTTTTCTGCGATATGCACTAAGATATACATGATATTTGTAAATAGTTAAAATTTTGTGTCAAAAACTAACTTCCAGCCAAATGGAGAGAATTATTTACCAACATATCATATATGATAATGAGAAATCAATTAGTATAAACTAGGAAAGATAACATGCCATAAATTATTTTAATCACTATTAACTTTCTTTTTTATACAGTGGTCGCGTTTTAGCAAGAACAGCAGGAAGTGAAGGTGATGGGGCAGAAATTAAGTTTGAGATAACTCTTAATTTGGCTGTCGTGTGGCTTCTAGTCTTCGCTTCATTAAGTCAAGGACTTCGTTTTTATGGAAAGGTTAGTTTGTTGTGTGCTTCGAGCGTGTACCTTTGGCGCCATCTAGTGCTATATATAATATATTTTTGTGGTACTGAGATATTTGTGATATTTTGAATTATTTATATAATATTAAAGGATCTATAGAATAGATAGCTGTCAAATAAAACAAACTGATACCAATTTGGAGAAATTTCATCATGAAAATGTAAAAAATAACTTAACTAGGATTCTTTTTTGCATTTTTGCATATAAAAAATATTTCGCTTTAGAAAATTAACTGATACTATAAAAAGTTTTGTAAAAAAATATAATAACATAAAAAATGGTCTATATTGATATTTACGTTTTTACTCTGTATTCATTTACATATACGTGGAAATAGATACACAGATAATGATATATATGTACTGTAATTAAAAGTAAATATATGTAGTTTTAAGAAAATGTATATTGATAAATTTATATTCCCTTCAATACGAAAATACATTCATTTCAAGGACGAAATTCTTTTCTTTCTTACAGTTAGCGTACGCCTTTGTTGTTATTCCCGTTCCTCTACTGATCTTGATGGCCTCGAGAATGATGGAAGAATGGGGAAATGGTGTGTCAGACATTTTTAACGCCGATTGGAAAACATTACTTAACGACTCAGTTGTACGTTTATGCTCTCTGGATGTTTTGTGAATTATATTTACAATTATTTCTAACGTTAGAAATAATTTAAATAAATAGAAACTTTCATTTTTATAAGCATTTTTGAATCTTTTTAAATACATTTTCAATATAAAATATATTAATTGAATTGATAACCAATACAAATCTTATAATAATAATGTTGAAAAAGAAACAAATAAATATTATATAGATATGAAGAATTTAGAATAATGCATATCAAGCTCAAATACTACATAGAAGACTGTTTTAACAGCGAACTTTCTATCCGAGGATCAAACCTCGAAATTTAGCGTTATAAGCCCTCAAAATTAAAGCATAGGAATTGAAACTAATATAAAAATGTATTTAAACACATCTGCTAGAGTACTTTCTGACAAATAGGAGTAATAGCTAATACATTTCTAGATTTGAAAAAGCAGAAAAGGATTTGAATGAAGATAAAAAACAACCTTTTTATATTGAACTTTTCGAATTAAAACATTCTATGTTCATCTAAAAATATCCTTGATATTAATTTGAAACTTTTAAATTTGATACATACGCATCTGGTAGAACCACCTCCAGAATTTATTAGGGTTTGCAGTCGTTTAGAGAAGGAACCAATCAGATTTTTCACCTGTGTCATGACCCACAATTTCCCAGAGATTAAGCACACAATTCTGCAATTTCTACTGGGGCGCTGGCTATAAGCTTTAGCTCTATGTTATATGTATTCAGTACATTTTAAATAGGAACTTTTAGCGGCCAGGTTAACAATTTCAGGTCATTCTGTACCTCTCAAGCTGTGATGGTTCTGGGAATCTGGTAGTCTGGCTTGTTGCTTCATTCTCTTGTAGAATATTGCGCATACAGTAAGTATTTCTTGGTCAATAGAAGTAAGAGTTTATTCTGTAGAATGGAGATCTTCTCTACAGAACTGAGACGACCTGGAGTTTATTCAAGACATATTTTGATATCATACCAACTGCCTGCCCAAATCATGACTCTTAAACCTCCGTTCTTGACAGTTAGCCCCGAAGAAAAGATCTTAAAACATTCTCCAGACCAACGTTAGTCCAGAAGATGCGAATTGTAGATGTTCAACTCATCTGAAAAAACCACCAGTATGCAAGGGGTTTGTCAATCAGCATGTTTCACAAACCAAAACGACTGCTTTGTCCACAGCTATCAGTGACTTTCTTCGGACAACTTTCTCATTATACCTGAGTCTATGCAGCAGCCTTTGGACAGTAGTTTCGTTTCTGCAATTATTAACAAGGATTCTTTGAAGCCAGCGAACAGCAGCTTTTCCAGGACTTAATATTAAAATCTCAAGATCCACAACAATACTGTACAACTTCTAATCAGCTTCTTACTCTACCACATATGAAAGAAGGAATATTTCAGTTACAACATACTTTTGTCACCATTTTGATTGGTTGGTTGGAACGCTTATTACTCCAAGCTTTTCATATCAGTTCTCCACTTAGATACCCTAAGTACATGGACGAGTTCATTTTTGGACGCATTAACATTATTACGAGTAGGATCTGTATTAATTACTAAAATATACTAAAATCTTTACAGTTCTGTAAATTTCGCGAATGAGATTATGACATTGATAATATAAAGCTGCCAATGTCAATGTATAAAAAAAATGAAAGAAAGGAAACCAAAGAGGAACAAATGAGTTCAATCAAGTAGTATTGAAGCAATTTCCCTTAATTAAAATTATATGATAGCGTTACTTGTTGTTATAATGAGTAGTATATCGATTGTCCAAGTTAACAGAATTAACTCGTAATATCATGTTGGCCCCCTTTCGTTGCGATAATAGCCTGAACTCGGAGTGGGATAGATTTCACGAGCTGACAGAAGGTGTATAGTTCAATTATAGCCAAATATCAATGAATATTGTCTGTAATTCGCTCAAAATGTTGGTTGAACGTAACATTCAGGTTCATCTACAAGATGAATCGGGTTGAGGTCTCGTTATTGCGCTAAAGAGTAGATATCGATGAAGCCACTGACGTGCTCTTCGAACAGGTTCCAAATAAGAACGTAATGGAGTTTGCATTATCATCTTGGAAGAAACCTTGTTCACTAGTGTAGAAGTGTAGTACTGAAGTAGCTGACTAAAAACAACAATCATATCTACTTTTAACGTTATTCATTCTTCCAAAGGAATCCATAAAACTACTACCTTCTACTGGATTTCTACATCATCACACCAACTGTCAGTAGTGTTTGTCTGTTGAAAAAGACAAGTAGGGTCAAGTGTCTCATATGTTTTTGATATCTTTTATTCTACCATTAGTAGAGAAAAGAGTAAAAGACAATTTATCAAAGTACATCATACTATTCTAGTTATTTAATTGTCTAATGTAATGTGTGCACTGAGCACAACTGAAGTTGTGCCTTCGTATCTGTATAGCAAGTAAGCGGTTTTTGGACAAGTTGATGGAGCTGTGCAATAGTTTTTGTAATGACTCTTACATATTGTAGTTGGATCTAATCGAATTCTTACCACTATTAAAGGAATCAGTTAATTGTTCTCAATCCGTCGCCTGCAGTAAATTTTGTATGTACCAATGAAGTGTTTACTCACGAGCTTAGCATAGCGAGAAAGTGTTGCAGGGCAACAGATGAGCTTCAGGCATGTGAAGTGAATGCAATAAACATGGATTATCTCCAAAGGCAACGGATAAACATCACTGTATCAATACTCTGTGGAATAATATAGTTAATGGCCATTGACAAAAGGATTTGATTTATCCTGTTGAATATCAGGTATTATTCTAATATGTTAATAATAAATGCTATTGATAATGGTTAAATCTAATTATTCTATTAGGACGTTTATAGAAATATTTTGTTTTAGGGTCAATCATATTTGTGTGTGTTATTCATAAACTTTAATACATATTATAATAAACAAACCACATATTCTCTCTCTGCTTAATGCTTTGTACCATAAGTAGTGTTGTCGGCGATTAAAATGGAACTTTTCTCACATACTTTTAGTTTGTTTTGTACAGATTAACCTTATTCTGAAAATTTATAAGAGTTATGAAAAATCTCCAGATGTTTAAGGAAGTGAAACTTATGCTATGCATATTTCAGGTACGCACATTACAACGAAATTATAATTAAAAAATTATTTGGTCAGAAACTAGCTAAATTATCTTTTCAAACGCGTGTAACAAGTAAAGTAGTTGAAAGATATAAAATACTTTAGTTAGACCTAATATCACGCTTGGGCAGGTATATTTTGTCATTTGCACTTTTGGAATTTTTTAAGACATCGATTTTAATGCAGTGTTCAGATATACGCTTATAATGTATAGTATAAAGACTACATACATACATATCAAGTTACAATAAATACAAAAATATGAAATGTGTTCATGGCATTGTTTATATTATCAACATTGGTGAAAACGAAGCCATTCAAACTAGACGTAACTAATGTAACCAGAGGGCCTCACTAAACAAGCACTTCAATTGAATATAAAGCTCACTGGTCATTTGTTACACTTCAGAACTCTATCCAATCGTTTTTCCCTCGATTTCTCACGAGTGACCACAGTTTTTTTATGGTAGGTACATTTATTCCATTTCGATTGCCACTGTTGTTAATTCAATAATAGGTGTCTTTGAGCAGCTGGTCAATAAAATAATCAGTTAGCGATACTCCTCTTAGACAACACTCAATTTCACATCCCTTCGAAAGTGGGAGAAGGCCTTGCTCTTACCCGTTTTCATGCAGACCCAATCTCTTAATCTACAAGACTCAAAAAAACACTTGTCATATCACATTTTTAGTCTATTATTTATGCAAAGAAACGCAAGTTTGTGTGTTAAGCTATACTCAGTCAGAACTGTTTTGATCAGAACCTTCTTCTATTGGACTTATATTGTTTTAATACTTACAGTTTTACTTTTTAACGGTTTTTAACTGATTTTTCTAGTTAAATAGCACGAGTTTCACCTGAATTTCGAAATAATTTGTTTTACTGAATTTAAGAAAATTATGATACCTTGGACGTATTTAAATTCTTACCGTTGAAATAGGAACATCCTTTAATCCGAAATTTTCAATAATAAATTGTGTTACTTATTTCGATCGCTGTCTTCTTTTTCTTTATGAAATTAAGGTTCCTTGCAAATATCTTTGTTTCGACAGCGCTGAGATTTTGAGTGTCTGTTTTGTAGTTACGTTTTGTAACATTACTTTCAGTCTTGGCACCTGGCCTCTAGAGAGGTATTTCTCACATGGGCTCTATATGGCGGTGTGGTTCTACAGCTTTGTAGTCACAACAAAATTACAACAAACATCACAAGGTAAGCGTTAAACAGATATTTTCTTCTTACTTAGTTTAACTTAAGGCAAGTTTGTTTTTTCTCTAAAAAAGATCAGTTTCTGGAATTACTTTCTTCGTCAACCAAAAATTTATCCATGGTGATAGTGTTTGTGTATATGTTTATTTGTAACGTTGTGTTTAATAATATACTTAGCTAAGTTAATTACACCTTTCTTTGGAGTACAAAACCACTAAGAAAACTAATTCAGGTTTAAGTAACTACTCGAATGATAACAGCCACATTTGTCTTACATTTGGAATTCAAATCTAAAGCATATTCACTGAGAAAGAAAATAGTTAATTAATTTTTAACCTCGTGATAAGACAGGGGAAGGAATATGTAAATTAAGTACAGCAATCATTATGCAGCGTGTAAATATTCGTTGAACATTGAATATGTACACAGTAGTTGTAAGTTATACATATGTATGTATGTATTTATGTTTACTTCGTTTTGAGCTCCTCCTACACCTTTTGATAAGTCGACTTGAAATTTTGTATGTAGGCTCTCGACTCTCAAAGTGTGTTAGTGGAGAAAATGTTTTCAAAAAAGCCTTGAGGGGACACCAAAAACTATGGATCAGTTTTATTTGGGGGAGGAAGAGGACTCTCAGACTTGACTGAACCAAATCACTTTAAAATTGATATTAATATTTAAAAAAAAACATTGCAAACAATAATCTTAAGTTACTTTTAATTTTTTGTAAAGTTGAGCGTCCATATAGAGGTCAAAGGAGTTTAATTATAATATAATTGACATGAACGTGTGAGGGATCGTTCCAAATAAGCATCTGTGTTTAATGTCCACTAATAGAGAATCAAGAAGGTTATGGAGCTTTCAGGATTGGCTCACGGATTTACTTTTAAATTAACAAAAACTTCTACTATGAAATATTTTCAGAATTTCTCTTTATGGTTTCTTGTAGTGCGCTAGCGAAGTTCTGATGAACTCATAAGTTTTGTTTTGTACTTGTCTTTAAACATTTATGCTTAAGTTTATCAGTAGCGATTATGAAAGCCTTTATTAATGGAATCTTGTGTGTTTGATAGTACATAGATAAATAGATGGATATTTAAATTATTTTCAGGATCGTACTGGTTGTGGGGATAGCAGGAACGTTAACGCTTATTACGTCGTCATTTGTTTTCGTTTGTGCAATCAAAGCTATATCTGCTCGAAATATGACGTATGTATCGTCTTCTTATGGTAAGTATAAAATGTTTTTAAGGTCATAATACGAAGTATAATTCTCACAAACAATCATTATGAACAATTACAAAATAAAATCTGCATTTAAGAAATAATTTTTCTACCCGGTACAAGTGGTGTAGTAGAGAAAGTAATTACTAACGTGTTATATTTTATAACATTATAATATCGGAATTCCTTTTCATTCTGTTCCAGTTAGGAATAAAGGTATTGGTAATGTAGTTTACCTAATGTGATCTGGTTGACTTACAATGATTATGATGTAATCAAAAAATCACTAATGCGAATTTTGGATGGAAACCCTTAATGAAATAGTTAAGAAAGCTACTTTTTATACGTTATGACATTTAGCTTAGATTTTCAACATGCTTAACCTAGTCTGATGTCAATATTCTTAACCTATTATAGTTAACCTAGTCTGTAACTCAGTATCTGCACCTCAGTATGTTTAACCTAGCCTATATTTCAATATGATTAACTAAAACTGTGCCTCAATCTGCTTAACCTCGTCTGCACCTCAGTATATTTAACCTAGTTTGTACCTCAGTATGTTTAACGTAGTTTGCACATCATTATGTTTAACCTAATCAGTACCTTAAAATGCTTAATTCTAGCTGTACCTAAATATGCTCAATTATAACTGTACCTCAATATTATTAACCCAGTTTATAAGCAAATAATAGTTTTTTCACTTTTACCTTTAATCCCCCCAGTGGCTCAGCGGTAATTCTGAAGGCTTATAATGCTAAAATCAGGTTTCGATACCGTGGTAGATACAGCACAGATAGCCCATTGTGTAGCTTAAGCTTAACAAAAAACAAACAGACAAACAAACGTTTATCTTTTAACATATTTAGTTCTTCTTTCAGAGATAGAAGAAACAATAAAGTGTCTTGAACCTTCAATTGTGTTCCCGAAAAGTATGGCGAATGTAACTCCAATAAATTTGGTGATTGGTGACATGTTTCCGTCGTCAAATGATCAGTCGGTTGTCAGTGGTTACCAAGTTCTTCGGATTGCTACTGAAGTATTACCAGCAGCTTTGAAGGTTCAGGGTGTTCGTGCCATTTCTTCTGTCTGGTCTATTTGCTTCTTTTTCATGATGATTTTATTCGGTTTTGCTCAACTTGTAAGTTGTTTTGATAACTTTTATGTACTTATATTTCCCTTTTGTTGAGTTTTCTAGTTAATATTGAATGCTTTTAAATTTTAGAGAACTTTTTGGAAGCTATTTAATAAGTTATCAAATATAGGCTTCACAATCAACAAACATAAAAATTAGTGCATCTGTGTTACCAGAATTCGTCACGATAGTCGAGATTTTCAGTAAAGAACTTAGAAAAATTATTCCACTCCTATTTTCAAAGTGTGTCTGTCAATGATCCTTTCCTTTCAGGTCCCCCTTTGGTTTCTTGTGGTAGAGTCAATCATAAGCATTAAACCAACGATTTTGCGTAGATGGCAGACAATTGTTACCTTAATAACTTGTGCAGCTGGTTTTTTATTGGGTTTGCCATTAACCAGTACGGTACGTAATCAGTTTTGTTGTTTATGCGAACTAGCAAAAGTTCTATGAAATATATTATCAATACAACATTAGCATATACAATTCACAATAGAGAGTTTTTATATTATGAAAAAAAAAACATTAATACATATTGTTAAACACTGCAAACCAACTTCCAATAACATATATATATATACAAATATATGTCTTTATGAGAATTCGAAAACTGCAACTTTGACTAATTTCAAATGTAACAACCTGTAAATAGTTGAGAATCATATATTTTTTGTTTCCAGTTCACATGAGCACAATACCTGAGACAGGATAGTTATTTACCTTTTCTTTTACCTACAGGGTGCTCTTAGTCTCATAAAATGTACTGATTCATAATTATTTATTATTTTGAAATCACATCTTGGAAATAAATATCAATAATTCGAGTTATAGTAACGACTAATAACGTTTCACTCAATTCAACTAAATTTTATTAATAATGTGGTTACTTTGCCAGCTTCAGGTATTTAATATTTAAAATCATGTGTAGATATTGGCCGTTGCAAATAGGAGGAATTGCAATCACTTCGCTTACAGAATAATGTTGTGAAGGGAAACAGCCTTAACATTAGCCTCTATTGACAGAAAACAAAATCTAGTTATTAATGACAATGTTTTTTTTCCAAATCTGTATTTTATTTTTGTTAAATGAGAGCATAAACTTGTAAATAATAATTTAATATATCTTTACAATTAAAACAGAAGAATTTATTATTTTCTATAGTTTATCTTAAAAAACAACAACAACATATTATCAGTAACTTTTATAGGATAACCAGAAACTAAGAACGGAGAAGGAATATTTTTTAATGAATACTTATTGATAGGAAATGGACTTAGGAGTGAAATGATTTCAAACTGAATAACAGGAATTATAAGACTGTGATATCATGAAATAATGCGAACATCCTCAATTCTGGACATATCAGTTTATATGGATTCGGTTTTTTCTTGAACATAATTTTACTAATCATTGTTTTTGACAACGTTATATTTTCAAAACTAAAATAAAAATGCATTTCTTGACTAATTCCATCTGCCAGTTATGATTTTAAATTATGTTGAATACGAACCTCTCAAGATATCAGCTAGATCCCCATATGAGTTTATCTATTAAGAAAGAACATGTGAAGTGATTATGAAAGCTTTTTTTTTGTAAAAGTGACGTTATTATATCATATAACATAAAGACTATTAAAAAT